ATATGTAAATCTTCATTTCAAGGATTTCAATTAATGTCCTTCAAATCAAGCAAAATTTATGATTGGCCAGACTATACAACGCGTTCACACGTACGGACTACGCATAGCAGAGCATGATATATCGAGGAGGAATAAGATAGATCTAATATATCATATCTATTATTATTCACTCCTGATTTATAGAGCTATAATACAGATTATTAGATGTATGTTTAGCTCGTGATAATGGCATACCTGTATAGTAATACTGGCCGTCTATGTAAGTATGCTTTGCAGGAAAAAACGTTAATCCGTTTCGCCATTGCTACCTGGTAATAATTGAGATGGCGTTCTTGGCGACAAATTTCAGTCAATCGGTATGTCGCGAACGCGTACCTAATAGCGCGTTCACAACGTACCGTAAAACGCAGTTGTTTCGAGCGGTATCTTACGGACTCCGTCGATACGCGTATAGGCGTGACCTTGAGGTTAAACAGCGTTCACACGTAGTTTGGATGTACGTAACGTGCGTTTATAGCGGCGCATAGGGTGAAAGAAATCAACAAATTCGGTATAGGTTCGTGGCTTTTGGCTATACTCTCTTCTCTTTCTGGTCCGCATCTCTGTGTTGCGCGCGCTCCTTCTTCTCTCTCTCTCCTCTCTCTCTCTCCTCTCTCTCTCTCTCTCTCTCTCTCGCTCTCTCTCTTCTCTCTCCCTATTCTATGCGTCCCTCACCTCTCTGTCCTGTCTCTCTCCCTCTATGTGTCTCAACTCTCTCACTCCCCTCTCTCTGAACTCATATGCGTATCCTCTGTCTCTCTGTCTTTTCTTTCTGCACTGCTCTCTCTCTCACTTCTCTTCTCTGCTCTCTCTCTCTCTCTTTCTCTCTCTCTCTCTCGCCCACAAAGCGTGACGCGTATACGCGTATAGCTATAGCCGGTCGTTCACAAGTCCGCTATACGCGTATAGCTATACGAAGTACGTAGGAAACGCACTCATTTTGTCAGAATAGTGATACGCGTTTCGAACTGAGTATAGCTATACGTGGTCGTTCAGACGAGGGAAATTTATCGCGAGTACGTACGAAACTCTGTTTCGTATGCGTACGAACCGTGGATTTTGCTACGTGTGAACGCGCTATACGTATAATCATGCGTGTATGCGCGCTCATGAGTATACTACGCGTATCAATATTCTGACAAATGAGTGCTTTTCCTACGGCTTCGCTTATAGCTATACGCGTATAGCGGACGTGTGAACGACCGGCTATAGCTATACGCGTTACGCGTCACGCTTTGTCGGTGCGAGAGAGAGGGAGAGAAGCTGGGAGAGAGAGAGAGAGGAGAGAGAGGGAGAGAGAGAGAGAGAGAGGAGAGAAGAAAGACAGAGAGACAGAGGAGACGCATAGAGGGTTTAGAGAGAGGGAGGAGAGGTTGGAACATTATGAGGAGAGAGAGAGGCAGGGAGAGAGGGGAGCATAGAGATAGGAGAGAGGGAGACGCAGAGAGATAGGGAGATGAGAGAGGGGAAATCGGGAGTAAATCTATCGTTTCTTTTCGCTATGCGCCAGCCTATACGCGACGTAGTACATTCCAAACTAGTGTGAACGTGGTAACTCACGTCCGGCTATACGCGTATCTTACGGAGAGTCCGGAGATACGGTCGAAACTGCGTTTTACCGGTAACGTCGGTGAACGCGCTATTAGTACACGCGCGTGTGTATGTCCACGCTTTACGTCTAGACGTATGCGTGTATGTGCGCGCATGAGTGTATGTACACGCGCGGGTGTATGTCCACGCTTACGTCTAGACGTATGCGTGTATGTGCGCGCATGAGTGTATGTACACGCGCGTGTGTATGTGCACGCTTACGTCTAGACGTATGCGTGTATGTGCGCTTATGAGTATACTATGTATACGCGCGTGTGTATGTGCACGCTTACGTCTAGACGTATGCGTGTATGTGCGCTCATGAGTGTATGTACACGCGCGTGTGTATGTGCACGCTTACGTCTAGACGTATGCGTGTATGTGCGCTCATGAGTGTATGTACACGCGCGTGTGTATGTGCACGCTTACGTCTAGACGTATGCGTGTATGTGCGCGCATGCACACGCGCGAGATGAACGTGCGCGCGTTTAGTTAGAATTGTTAAATATCCTATCTCAGCGATTCACGTCGCTGTTCAATTCGTTGATCATTTTTGCGATAGAATTGCTATAATTTAGGTAGGACAGCGCAATTTACTTCCAATCTCAATTTTTAGCAGATAGCGCTGATGAAATGACATTGTCCATATACATTTATCGCTTTTACATATATCTTTTTACATATATTTATCGACTATACATTAAATGTCTTTCTATCGAACGTGTATTTTTCAAGCTTGCTTTGCACTGAATAATATTTTTCGCATTGTATTATGCATGTTCATAATAAATATCACTACTAGTTCTCGGACAACCAAATACTAAATATGCTGAAGTACTAATGATAAATCCGAGCGTTGTGTACAAATAAAAGCAATTAAATTAAAAATAACCCTCAATTAGGATTTGTCGAAATTACATGTAATTAATGTGTTTTTTTGCAAAATCTTATTAATATTTGTTTTTTCCTGTCTTCATGCAGTCAAAGAGCTTATAACGATCATTATAATGATCATTATAAGCTCTGATGCAGTGCATGGATTGTTATATATATATATTTTTCATAAATCGTTCTCCGACGCGTTACTGATATTCCCAGATGAGGGATGTACCTCCTCTGAGGGTGGATTGGTGATGGTGTTGGTTAGGGTGAGTGGTTTAGCCCCCTGCCCCTCATGATACCAGGCTCTTTACTTTTTACTTTATTTTCATTTTTTTTAAGTCATCTAAAGTTGGTTGGCGCTTACGGCGGGTCTTCTACTTGAACAGCTCTCCGTAGCATCCCGAGATCGTAATCAGTTGCTCTTGAAATAAGAATTAACATGTAAATGGAATATACTAGAGACGCGATGGACTGCTTGCAGAAACATGCAAATTTCATCAACATGTGCGTGTGTAGATCCAACTTTTTGATGAGACAGATGCCGACGTGTTAGCAGCAGGCTGCATATTTGTTAAAATTTATTTACGGCGACTAAACACGCCACTTTCTGAGTAGAAAAGCGCATTCATTCTTTCATCAGATTAGGTATAAGAGCGAATTTTCGTGATAATATACAAATTACGTATATGCAAATTTACGTAACCCGAATTATCGTAACGCGAGGCATTACTGTAGGTTCGTGCATAAATAAGTTCGTAGTCTGCATGTTTATATTTCTTGCATTTACTTCCGCAGCAGCATCCTTTTCCTCAGGCGCTCGCAGTCCCGATCGTCGTCATTGTCATCATCATTTTCCTCAGCATTCCAATTATAGACATCCTGTCTCTCGGATGTCCAGCGTCGTACTCGTCAGCATTACGAATCTCTTCTCATCTAAATCCTCCGCACGAATACGACGATATACGAAAATATTATAAATGATACGATCTTTGGATGTTTTTTTTCCGTCGGCGACCATGCCGACGCATTATTGTCGTCGTCGTCGGCGGTAATACGTGCGTGTAGTCGACGGTCGGTCGTTGTGTCTCCCACATACGTAATGACTGTGCAGCGAAATACTCGATCTGACGACGTTCTCCTCGTATAGGTTATACATTAGATATCGTCGGTGATCAATATCAAGAATTCCTATCGTTGTCCCCCTCCCCTCACGGAGTGCTGACTGTAGCTACTACATGCGGCAGATATGACGAAGGTCGTCACCATTTGAATGCGGCGGTCGAAAGTACACGGGAAAAGTGTACTCACTTATCGGCGTGCGCGCTCAATGCCGTTCATAACAGCCTATCCAGTTGTACACGAGCCGGTCCATAACCTTCTAGCCTGTCAGCAGATAGCAATTTGGCGAGCCACATATCTCCTATTAGGTTTCCGCCTAATCGATATAGCTATCGATTCCCATACTGACTGTTTACCGAAACCCGTGGACTGCTTCGTGTCCAAAAATGCCCGTCTCGCGTACGTTCTCAAGTAAAACTTCGTTGCCGCGACTGGTACTTATGTCAATGCAGCGAGTTATGTATTCTCACTCATTTTACCGCTGAATCAACGTTTTTTTTGTTGGCCCGCGCTGTGTTATTTGCGTACGATTACACTAGCTGCTGTTGTTATACACACATCTGCAAGCAATGGCCACCTGCATTATACAAATATTAATTGTGAGTCACGTTCTGTTTCTTGTGAATCATGTTTCTGCGAATACATGCAACGTGATTCGAATAGTCTCCACACGAGGCTTTCTAATAGTCGTAACCGTATTCGGATAAAAGGTAGAGACCATATTATTATTCAGCGCGGCATGGTCTCTATCTCGATGGTGTGTACTTCCGCTTTCAATATTGTATACCGCAGTTTCTCCTGAGATACTGTCCTCCCACAGTCCTGTCATTACAATAAACTGTAACCATGCAACTTATTACCATAATACTCATGTACTTTAATACATAATATATATATATATATATATATATATATATATATAGTAGTTTGGTTTTACTCTTGTAGTTTGTGGGTATAAAAGTGGACAGGGGGCTTGGGTGTGCCCCGGGGGTATGCACAACGTAGTTTGGTTTTACTGTTGTAGTTTGTGGGTATAAAAGTGGACAGGGGGCTTGGGTATGTACTACGTAAATCAGTTACACTGTGTTAGTTTGTGAATATGATAGTAAACTGGACTTGTGTAGGGCAAGGCTAAAATATCTCAAACAGTTGATGCCATTCTAGCAAGAAATGACTAGAATCGAATTATTCGATTTATTTATAAGACCCAACAACATTATTCCCCGATTCCCCTCTGTATGCAACTTCCCTCCGTTTATAGCAACTTTCCCTTCATTATCCGGAAGAGAGCCTAGATAGGTGCGCACTGCAGTCATGCACAGTATAGCCCATGCGGCTGGCAGTTGCTAGACTATAGTCAGTTGTTCTGAACGCCATTAATTCTCGCACAGATCATTGAGACGACAAACTACCAGCAGCGCTCGTCCCGCACCAACATGGCAGCCGGTGCACCCGACACACGCTCTACGCGCTACAACTTCATGGGCATGATGATACCGACGAAAAAAGGAAAGAACTCCGTGGTGCGTACACGATTATTGCAACGGCTTAGTGACCTACTTAGCAACGAGAACACAAACAACGAAAACGAAGTGGAGAATCACTATTGTTAACACACATACACATCGATTTGAGCTGTGTATTTTGCCGAGGCAGCGTACGTAGAGGCCCACCACGATGCATTCAATATTATTTATTGAATTTCTTTTAATATTTATTTATTATATAATTAACCCACCGTACGTTTGGTAACTCAAAGTTATTAGAGCTGTTCGTAGTGCGTTAATAGTCACCCTGGCATCATGTCACTTGTTATACCGTCCATACTGTTAGTCTATATCCATTTATCTCGCATTTTGTTCTGCTGCTTGGAAGATATCAATGTTGTTCAATTGTTTATGCGCAGAGTTCGGCCGAGGAGCAGCTTATAGGCAGCAGCTCTAGTGGCTCTCCCTCGTTATCTCCCTATGGCACGCAGAGGCCACAAGGACAGCGCGATGCAAACGTGGTGAGCTGATAAACATTGATGTTCATACGGAATGAATATTCTCTAGCCCAGGATCTCTCACCTATGCTTTCTCTCTGGCACTCTCACCTGTTACACACTAACTTCTATTTCTTTAATTCTCACATATGTCGTCATTGATAAATTGTATTCTATGCTATCACTACTTCAACGCATTTTTGTCTAGTTATGATCCTGTTTTATGTCTCAGTATAGCTGTATATGTACAGTGACTTATATTCTTCCCTAGTTTATTACATGTACACGTGTTTCATTCATGCAACATCTCATCCGATATTTCAATGGATGGCATCATGTTGTTGTAATTGCTGTAAAAAGTGGATGACATTGATTATATACCACTGGTAATTGACTCTCATTTGTAACCTTCTTCACAGGATATGTCTCATCATATGGTATACTCTGGTGCCCCGTCACCGCCCCCGAGCACGGTTGGTTATCCATACAGCATCGCCGAGGGGAACAGGGAGACGGAGAGCATAGAGGTTCTAGACGAAATGGAAATATCATCAACGAGGAATGGATCTACACACCGAGGTTCCAACCGGTCATAGACGCCTGCTGCAGATGCCATAGCACCTACGGTGGCGCCATCTCTAGCACCCCAGCTAACCTGTCGCCCGCGCGCGCTGTTTCAACGGAAAAGTGTATTTATTTTTATGGGTGTTAAGATGAATTCTTATTTTTATCTAAAATAGCCGATACAATTTTTGTAAAGTGCGTTGCTCGCGTTATTGAGTGTAGGCTTAGCAAATTTGTACCAAGCAGTTTTGATTTGTTGAGTTGCTATGAGATGTAGTCTGCTTGCATAAAACCCATCATGACGTCAATACACTTCCGATCACGCACCGTAGCATGCTTTTTGGCTTGTGCTGATTTTTGAAAGAAATGAATGTGTAGATGTGTCTGTTAATATCAGAATATATTTGTTGCGCTGAGAATTACGTGCTGTGTGTAATGTATGAGTGCATGCTGTAAATTTATGAATATGCATAATATTTGGTTTAAATAGTTCATATAATGAAACAGAAATCATAATGCCGTGCCAGAGAGATATATATATATACATATATAAACATATATAATACATATATAGTATATATATATACGCGTGTGCGAAAGCGCGCGCGACTACGTACGTGCGTGCGCATGTGTTTGTGTGTGCGTGTGTATGTAACAAACATGAGAGTGGACGAGAGACAGACGCCAGTATCTCGGCTGCAGGTTCTTGCGTGGAGAAATGGATCTAGGGAACCCAACTGTGATTGGTTACATGTATATAGGGCGTTGCTATGCTCCAGTGCGTACATGTCTGTGACTACATACGGATGGAAGCACTGTATAAGAAATCTCAGCTGTCGTGGTATGTGTTCACATACGAGACAGAGTTTCATGAAGTCATGTAGTGTCTGGCCAATTGTTGAATCTACATTTTATACTGATTTCAACTGTTGCGTTATGCATTTCTGTGAGCATGTAGCTTGTGCTAACCGACTACACATGTTATAATAAGAGGTAATGCGTTCATGACATCGCCTTTCAGTTGTTAGAATACAAGTATTTAATAGCTTTGCCTGTGGTGGGTTTTAGGAAACTGCGATCGCATTCTATGACTTGTCATGGATGAGGACGCATTAGTAAACCCAGAGATAACATGTCCATCGTATTCTAAACGAGAAAGAAACGGACAACCTTTAATCGCATGTTGACCCTGGTGGTTTTAAACATTAATATTATTAGAGCCTATATCAAATTTTATTTTTTACTAGCAGAACTGCAAATGCTAATCACTACGAGCAGAGTTGATTGAGAAGGAAACGGTTACGTTGAGAATGACTGAAGTAACACGTCACGTGGTTATATCGTTGTATAGAGTTACTAGTGGCGCCGTCTGTCTGCCGAGTGTTGTGCAAGCACCCGATCTTGATGCATCCATTTAGAAACCAAAATTAAATCTAATTTAATTTAATTTAATTTAATTGTTCATCCGAGGGGTTTAACAGTAATAAGATTGATGCCTATATTAAATGTTATTATTTACTAGCAGGGTTGTGCAAGCACATGATCTTGATGCATCCATTTAGAAACCAAAATTCCATATTGGCTACGCGATGAACATACACGCGCGTGCGTATGTGCGCTCGTGGTTACGCTGCGAATGAAGATCCAGCTGACAATTAATGTATCAGTGACGTACCCGTGTTTCAATGATCGTGTTTGCAACTGACAAGGGTGTGACGATGTCGGCAGACAGTGAGCGCACCTGAGCGTTTCACTCACAGTAATACTGTAATAAATGTACATGTAATCAAAAATACTTTGCTTTTCGACTTATCTGTTAGCACGTGTCCGTGATCTTTGCTATATTGTGTATGTAGTACCTAGGGCTGTAGCTTAATCGGAATCCTAAGCCAAGCTATATAATTGAAGAGTGAAGAGGTGGTACATTGTTAGGAAAGTTTCAACAAAATTACACCGCCCTATAGGAGAAGCAGTATAGAAGAAAATAAAGCCTGAAGGGTTTAATTTCGTTTTATTATTTATTAGATTTACTCTAGCGTTACTATTTTATTTTGCTCCACACTCCATAGAAGCTGCCCCTTCCCCTCAAACGCTAACGTCCTGATGAAATTAATTAGGCAACACTACTCATGTGTTTCCGAGCGTACTCAAGAAAATACTTTTGAATAAGAGAAGATACGTATAATTATATTGAACATCGTTTATTGCATAACAGGAATAACAGCATACAAAACCGTCAACGAATAGAGAAATACACAAGAGCTTTCATTCACGTCGAATCGAATAATAACATTATTGGGTAATACACGTGTGGCATCTGTAGGCATCATTTTAATAAATTATTGATTAGCTTATTATGTGAGTCGCATCTATAAACTACATCGATCCATCGGACATAAAGTGAGCACAATGCTCAACGTTCCAAGTATATCACGAGCATATTAAACCGCCCTGTGAACTCTAATGGACAAGGGTGTTGCTACCATAGCCGAGGTTAGCCCCACCGTAGCTTCCGTGGCTGGCGTATCCGGCATTGTACCGGGGACCGTGCGTGATGGGAGAGGATGCACTGATGCCGACGTTGCGGCCACCGAATCCCAGGTTGCCACCGTATCCGAGGTTGCCACCGTATCCTTGGTTGCTACCGTATCCCAGGTTGCTACCGTATCCCACGTTGCCACCATATCCGTTTCCGTATCCGCCTCCGTTTCCGTATCCGCCTCCGTATCCGCCTCCGTTTCCGTATCCGCCTCCGTATCCACCTCCGTATCCGCCTCCGTTTCCGTATCCGCCTCCGTATCCACCAACGTTTCCTCCGTATCCACCAACGTTTCCTCCGTATCCACCTCCGTATCCACCTCCGTTTCCTCCGTATCCACCTCCATATCCACCCTGGCGGATCACACGGTGTCCGTACAACTGCCTGTATCCGATGATTGGCTGCTTGTACTGGAAGGCGTACAGGGTCTTTGGCTGATACCAAGAGTATCCATCTCTGAATTGCAAAGTATTAATATGGTTACTTGGCGTGCATTGCGTAAATAAACTAGCATGTTTTTCGGTTCCGCGTAAAATTAATTGCAAATGCATCATCACAATCTACGGGCGCGTCAGCACAAATCTCGAATTTGTTGGATGAAGTAAAATTGGGAAAACTCAACGAACCTGTATCCGTACTCGTAACCTCTGGCCCTGGCGGCGGTCTCTGCTGCCGTGGCTTCATCCTTCTCGTAGTCAGCGCCGGCCGCCTGGCCGTCACGCGCGTACGAGCCGCTGGCGTGCTTTGATCCGGATCCGTGAGCGCGGGCGTCGGCCCTCGGTCCGTACACGGACGTGGTGAAGAACTCCGGGGCGTAGGTGTGTCCGTAGCCGGTGTGCTGTTCGCCGGCATCAACACTGCCGACGTTGTCGTAGGTGCCGTAGCTTCCTCCGTAGTTACCATCGCTGGCGCAGGCGGCGGCCACGAGGCAAAGCACGATGCAGAGCTTCATGTTGACTAGAAAGAGAATAATCGTGGCTGATAAAACCATAAACACACATATATCATGTATTTACGCAAAGCGTCTGTACAATGTATCTGCACAGTGTATACAATTAGGAGTGAATAAAAACACACTTTGTTTTTATTCACTCCCGATGTAATTTATATAAAAATACAAGGTAATGTCGTTCAAAGATGCCCGCATACATTACATTCAAATAAACAAACCTCATGTTGACTAGAAACAAAGGCAACGTGGATAAAAAATACCATAAACATATCTACACGACGTATTTACACAAATCGTGTGTACAATGTATCTGTACAGTGTCTCTATACAACGTACACAATGTAGTTCTATGATGCATCTATACAATGTATAAAATTTATGCAGAAACTCAATGCAATGACGCTCAGAGATATCCGCATACGTTACAATCTAATAAACTATCCTTAGTTAAAAATGTTATCTAAAAGTATGAAACAATGTAGCGCGTATTTGTTGCTCATACAGAGCGCTGCTCGGTACTCACCTGTTCAGGATCCAGGCAAGTTGCTTGCTGACTGCTCTCTCAAGGTAGAACTGCACTATTTCTATCCGCGTCGGGCCCTTTTATACGAAACGGCGAGCGGCTTGTGACGCTTAACTTTTCCCCATTCATCACGGAACGCGATCATTTTCAAAGGGGAACAATACCGTCTAGCTGAAATAATGTCAGCGAGACAAGTCGCCCTAAATAATAAAGATAGCGGTGCGGCGTTCGATTGTTTTACGTCACTTGACGTCGTTTGTTAGCGACAGAGCGACACCGCAACGGGCGTGCACTTTACTATACGCACGTCTCATTACGGAGGCATTGGAACGCAGTCTTCACGAGTTTGCCTAGTCGTTAGCCTGTTTTAGTGACTATATGCCTTTTGAAGGATAGGAATCTGAATGTATAGATGTGTTCGTTGATATCAGAGTACGTTTGTCGCGCTCAGAATTACGAGTGTTGTAATAGTCTGATGAATTGTGTTTCTGCTGCGAAAATTGATACGCAGCTCCCTCGTGATTATTCATGTCGTCTATAGTAGTGTGTAATAAAATAAAGGAACGGCCCTTAGCAAAATGGTTTACGCACACCAGATGGCGCGTGGCGACGTCATTAACTAATCACTGAGCAGTTTCACGTTTCTCAAGCAAATTCGGAGTGAAACTTAAACCAATTGTTACACATTTATATACATACACACACACATATATATATACATATAAACTCGTATTTGGGTGCGTGCGTATGTGTGTGCGTGCGTATGTGTGTGCGTGCATAGGTGTGTGCGTGCGAATGTGTGGGCGTGCGTATGGGTGTGCGTGCGAATATGTGGTCGTGCGTATGTATGTTCGCACAATTGGTTGAACGAATGTCCAGAGTTTTCCTGTTCGCAGGAAGGTTACTTTCTAGTAGTTGTACTTTCATCATCATCATCATTCATCATCATTCGACTGTTGAAAGCTTCTGGTAGCGAGATACCAGTGCTGAAGTGTGGTGTCGCTCGATATTGATATAACGAAATTGTACCAAATCGCGCTACTATTGTCGACCTTATGTCAGATACTCGGATTGTCTTATTTAGCGTTAGCACAAAGATCTTTAATATCTCATGGCTATAACGGCGTAATGTGTCGATGATATAAAATCTCAACTCTTCTGCAAATGATGAAAATTTCTCATCGTTAAATGGTGGGTTATTATCGGGGTTGGTAGCCTACACCTTGCCTGGCAAATATTGCTTGACATAGGTAAAGACATCTTCGTGCTGCTTGAGCCAGCAACCATTCCATGTTCTCAATTGTGGTCTAAGTATCGCACACTGTTAATGGATTCGTCAAGTATGTCGCCAAGTAATTTACCATGTTCAGGAATCTACAAAGTGCCTTGAGGCCTATTTGTGTTGACATTTCGATGACTGCTTTTACTTTTGCTTGATCTGCGAGAGTAAGCCATTAGCAGTGAAGACGTGTCTTATGAACGGCACTTCTGTGAGCCACAACTTAACTTTGTCAGCATTGAGCGAGTGCCCAAGGTTACGTGTGCGTTGCAGACACGCTGCTAAGTTACAGTTATGGTCCTTTGTAGCATACTCCATGTCGTCACTGAATCTTCACACTAAAAATGCATTTGCTATGGCTTCTACTCCCCTTAAGCCTTCCACAACTTCACGCATTCGTGTTTGCTATATTCTGGTGCAGAATGGATTTCAAACGGCATTCTCAACCACCTGAGTCTTTCAAATGGCGAGTTGAATGTAGTGAGTAATATATAACCTAGATTCTTGGGCTAGCCTGACTTGCCAGAACCCTGATTTCGCGTTAAGCACCGAGAAAACCTCGGCATTTGAGAGTCGTATAGCCACATCATCTAAGGTTGATCGTGGGTAGTGAGATCTGAGTAAAGCTTTGTTGAGCTCTCGTGGGTCTAAACAGATGCGTATCCGGCCATCTTTCTTCCTGACCACCGCCATGGTTGATACCCATGCAGTAGGCTCAATGACTGCTGTAATGACACTGTCACCCACCAATCTTTCAAGCTCAGCTTTGCCAGAGTCTTGAAGGGCTACCGGTACGGAACGAGGGGCGTAAACAACAAGCGGGATGTTCTCATCTACTGGATCAGAGAATCATCCGAGGAAGCCTTTGGAACACATCTGTGTACAATTCTAAGAGCGGATTCGTTTTAGCAGTAGTGACCTTTGCTTTTCTCCTTGTTGTGTGAATGCCTGAGGGTGTTGCCTCTGTAGTCGCAGTATCGTGTTCTATAAACCTAATCATACTGTCAACGTCACACTTCATGATTTATAGGTGTTCCCTAGCCGTTCACATGACCTAATGCTTAGCAGTGAGGTCACTTTCGCTTTTACTATTACAGAGCTCAGTGTGTCGTACATTCCATGACGCTCGTCTGCGAGTGTTACTTTTGGCTAAAGATCTCACCTCAGGCTTTCTGTGCATGCTGAGTCGGACATTGGTATTCTGGGACTACTTAGTCCCAGGTCACCTTTTTTGTGTGGTGCGCAGCTTTCACTAATTTCGTCCTTCTTCTCGCCTTCGTATCATTCAAATGTGTCGTACATATTCATTGCTTCCCGTCCTATGGCGTTCAATAGGACTGCAACACATACGCTTCCACTCTCAATAAATATTTAAGAGTGGAGCTACTCTTTCGTAGTATGTTTTATTCCCGTTGAAATACTTCCATTTTCACCTCTATGAGCCCAATCTTTGAGGCTGATTGGCTCGGGTGGCTTGGAAAAAATAGTTATGAGCGATTTTCAGTTCTTTTCCTGTTCGATTGCTTTCCTTCTGACACTATGTAACGCGATTGAGTACGTATAAGAGATAGTTAACCATGCAATGAGACACGAGATTCATTGTTACGTTGTTAATTGTGTGTACAGCCCGTCTGCCTGAACCATAGTAATATATAGGGTCTAACTATGTGAGCATGTAGCTTGTTCTAAGCGACGACTCCTGTTATAATAATTATCTAATGCAATAACCTATTAATCGTTAGAATATGAGTTTTTAATGACTTTGCATGGATGTGGTGGATTCTAGGAATTGTAGTCGCATTCGAGGACATTTCAAGCGTAGGCAAGTCGCATATAAATGGTATCTGACATGTGCATTTAGTCATTGCACTATTGCGCGAGAGATAGAAGATGATGTGACCATAAAAACTAGTGAATGTTCCGTGATTTTGGATGATTCATAGTACAATTTCACAGATATCGTTGACGATTTTTAAACGCCTGTTTTGCCTGTCATAGATAGGCGTTCATAGACACACCCATAGATAACGCGCAGGCCTATTGTAATAAAGCGAAAGTGATTACAATATAGAGCGCGACGCCGCCGCGGGGCAACCACAGTACTTGCCCCCGGCGGCGTCGCGCTCTATATTGTAATCACTTTCGCTTCATTACTCTATTATATTTTTAACGAGGGAAGAACGGTCAACCTTTAACTACCTCCATCACTTCTATATATTTAGTTTCATTTCTTTACATTTATCAGCTTTGCCCAATATAATACATTTAAAATGTAATTGCCATAAGTGTAAATAAAGTAATTTAATCGAATCTAATTTAATTTAATTTAATTGTTTATCCTAGGGGTTTAACAATAATAAGACTGACGCCTATATTAAATGTTATTATTTACTAGCAGGGTTGTGCAAGCACCCAATCTTGATGCATCCATTTAGAAACCAAAATTCCATATTGGCTACGCGATGAACATACACGCGCGTGCGTACGTGCGCTCATGGTTACGCTGCGAAGGGAAATCCAGCTGACAATTATATCATTATATCATTATAATTATCATTATATCATTATATCATATTATTAATGCATTTTTATTATTTGTGGTTCAATGATCGTGTTTGCAACTAGTAAGGGTATGATGATGTCGGCAGACAGCGAGCTGATCCATCACTCTCCGTAATACTCTAATAAGATGTAAATACATGTATAATACATGTATAATACATGTATACATGTATAACATGTAATACATGTATAGGTAACCAAAAATCCTTTACTTTGTGCATTATTTGTTATAACGTCTTTCGTCATCCATGTTATTGTATATATAGTAGTCAGGGCTGTAGCTAAATCAACACCATAGAACGGAGGGTAGGTTGTTAGAGAATTGTGAAGTGGCGAGGTAGTATATTGTTAGGAAAGTTTCAATAAATACACCGCTCTATGAGAGAAGGAGCATAGAAGAAAATAAAGCCTGAAGGGTTTAATTTCGTGTTATTATTTATTAGATTTACTCTAGCGTTACTATTTCATTTTGCTCCACAATCCAGAGCAGCTGCCCCTTCCCCTCAAACGCTAACGCCCTGATGAAATCAATTAGGCAACACTACTCATGTGTTTCCGAGCGTAGGCCTACTCACGAAAATATTTTTGAATAAGAGAAAACACATATAATTATATTGAACATCGTTTATTGCATAACAGGAATAACAGCATACAAAACCGTCAACGAATAGCGAAATACACAAGAGCTTTCATTCACGTCGAATCGAATAATAACATTATTGGGTAATACACGTGTGGCATCTGTAGGCATCATTTTAATAAATTATTGATTAGCTATATTATGTGAGTCGCATCTATAAACTACATCGATCCATCGGACACGAAGAGAGCACAATGCTCAACGTACCAAGTATATCACGAGCATATTAAACCGCCCTGTGAACTCTAATGGATAAGGGTGTTGCTACCGTAGCCGAGGTTAGCTCCACCGTAGCTTCCGTGGCTGCCGTATCCGGCATTGTACCGGGGACCGTGCGTGATGGGGGAGGATGCACTGATGCCGACGTTACGGCCACCGAATCCCAGGTTGCCACCGTGTCCGAGGTTGCCACCGTATCCTAGGTTGCTACCGTATCCCAGGTTGCTACCGTATCCCACGTTGCCACCATATCCGTTTCCGTATCCGCCTCCGTTTCCGTATCCACCTCCGTATCCGCCTCCGTTTCCGTATCCGCCTCCGTATCCACCTCCGTTTCCTCCGTATCCACCTC